AGGCCGCCGCCTCTTCCCCGTCTCGGGATCCAGCCCCCAGCCTCCAAGGGCTTTGTCCCGGCCCCTCTGCGGTCCTGTCCCTTTCCCCTTGCACTTTCACTATTGGTGCCATCTAAGCTCTCCGAGGGCAGCGCGGTCCGACTTGTCAGGTGCCCCGTGGGACTCAGCGCGAGATGGAGTGAGTGAGGCCCTGGGTAGATGGGGAGCCCGGGAAGCAGGCTGAGTGCGTGCACGTGAACTAGAGCCCAAGGAGGGAGCACCTGCACCGCACCACACGGGCCCAGTGGAGGCTGCGGACACAGGCCGAGGACCCACCTCGGGCAGTTTCCCAAAGGTTGTAAATGGTGGGACTTAGGCAAATGGAGTCATTCTGTTGTGGCTGCTTAAAAGCTGGTTCTGTTTTAGGCTGTTTTTAAAGAAAACACGTACTCACAGAAGCAACCCCCCACGCCCCCTACCCCCCATATTTACCTGTAGGCCCATTTTTCATATATGTGTCCCTTAAAACAGAATGTTCCCAGGCTTTTTCTCGCCCGTGTTTTGCTTTCTACCCTGGACTTTTGAAGAATCATTGTCACCATAATATTACTGAATGCATTTCTGAAAGGTAGGGTGCATCTAAAGGCAGAACCACGTGCCTCTGCTGTTCGCAACTTGTTTGTAAAACCAGACGTTTCTCTTGCTTTCAGGATGATGAAGTTTTGTTTCCGGAGACGGTACTGGCTGGTTTGTGGGTGACGGGAGAAGGCTGATTCTGTGGTCCAGAGAGGGAGAGAGCGATACTTACATGTGCGAAGATACTGTGGTTGAGACTATTATGCACCAGTTCTAGGTTTCCAGACCCAGATTCTGGAAAAGCTGGATCACTGTGGACTTGTCACATGATCTCTTTAGTCCTCAGTTTCATCGTTTCCAGGATGAGGGCGGTTAGATGGGGCCTTTCCCTGAGTTAGATTTCAAGGATTCTCTCTCGTATCAGGGGTAAAAGGTGACATTCCAGCTGTTTTCATGGAGTTCTGCTTAGTTCAGCTGCTCTGCTTGGGAACTCTACAATCCTGGGCCTCCTTTCCTCTCCACAAACTGCAGCTCTCTCCTCTTCTTCCCCACATCGGCTTCCTAAGGCCCTGGGAGTTCAAGGTTGGATAGCAGACTCTGAGCTGGTGGGGAGAAAGGAGGGCAGAATTTCACTCTGCATCGCCACAGGCTCCCTGTCCCGGGTCTAACTTGTTTTTCCATGCA